GTCTACTCACCTTGGTGTGTGATAAAAGCTGAGTGATACACAGGACAGAGCTTTATTATGAGTACCAGTAATAAACATAAAAAATTAGGGTGGATGTGAGTATGGATGACGAAGCTAACAACGTCCAGCCCACATCCGCATTCGCAACCACACCAAATAACAATAACAAGATCCGAGAAAAAAACAAATGGATAAAAAATTGTTATCACACTCATACTGCATATCTTGTTTTTTTTATTTGCTTTCCTATTTAAACTAACTCGTTCTGATGTTTTCTTTTGCATTCTGTAGAATGATGATATTGAAATTCTTCGTTGTTGTTTTTCTTCTCTATATCGAATGTGCGGAGCATGCTTCAGTTGATAATGCAAACATTCGTAATTTGAACGATTGCATCTACGAAGATGCACCATTCGGGCGTATCGACTTATCTCAAGTTGGTTTGAACAACGGCATACCGGCCTTTCGAAACCTGGCAAACGGTGATTATTACTATTCGTAAGTATTTAATCTTTATTATCTCTAAATTAATGTATGAAAATTTGTTACCAAAAAAAACAGCCATAATCCCTGCTATGCATTCTCCGAAAAACCCTTCTGCGATAGCGTAGCCGGATGCCAAAGTAACTATTTTCTCTCTGCTAGTTCGATTCTACATCATTCGTTCTGTTAATTAGTATACAAAGATGGTTCAATATCATTCCCACTTGGTTTCAATTCATTTGCAACATGGTCAGTCACAGCGAGTGGTAATGCAGCCATCATCTATTCAACAGAGAATCGTCAATTAACTGTAAATCTACTTTGTTCACATCATCTAGATGAATTGCACATTGCTGGCGAACATGATTTGCAAAGAGTCAATTTTACTTTATCAAGCAAATGTGCTTGTTGGAATGGATGTGTTAGTGATAGCGTCTCATCGTTAACTGGTACCTCCAGTGGTTTTTTTTTCTCTCTTTACTTGTTCTTCATTTATTTCTCTTCTGTTCGTATATATAAGCGTGTGTATTTCTCGGTGCATTTTGTTGAACAAAATATACTGATATGATAAGTGCTGATGGCATACTGTGACTTTTGATCATTAACCAAACGATGATATTTGCCGCAAAAGTTTCATTTTTAAATATTTCATTTGATAAAACGATTGAAATCGCTCCATTTGAATTTCTACCAGAATTTAAATAGAATATCGTCATAATTAATAAATACTGTAAACAAAATGAATGATTTCTGTTCAGAGAAGCAGATTTTATCTATGGCAGAATAGAGTCCTACTTACAACTGGTCAAGTAAATATGGCTGAAGAATTTTATAAGGTATTACTCGAACAGACATCTGATGAGGGTGAAAAAGCGATTTATTATAATCAGCTGGGAAATATCCATTCTAACCAAGGAGATTATGAAATGGCTATTTGGTATTACAAAAAACCCTTCCTTCAAATCATCCGGATTTGGCTACTTCATACAACAGAGTGGAGTGGGTGTGGATGGAAATGAAAAGGAATAAACAGAAATAAAGAAAAAAGATGAAGTTAATTTCTTATGCATATTTCGGTATATGATTTTCTTCTTTATATCTTTCTATCCATAAAAAAGAGTTAAGCGTGACTCTATTTATTCTCGTCATAGATACTATATCGTATTTTTGACTATTGTTTAATCTTTTTTCTTTAGAACCATGCAAATAGAGGAATTTGTAATTAAATGACGAAAAAAGTGTTTTAAAAAATAAGTCTTCAATCATCTTGTTGTTGTTCATCGTGTACAATGCTATCATTCGATATTGATCATCACTTTGTTTCATGTTTTTTCCGATGTTTGAATGAACAATATCGTATCAAGTTATGACAAACACATTGCTAAGATTTATTGTTCGATAAACTTCACAACAATTTTCAAACAATATAGAAAGTATATCATTTTAGTTTAAAAATAAGTCATTTTAATTATGTAAAATAAAATAATTAACTTAGAGATACTTCAGTTCTAACACGATAGATTTTCATCGTATATATATATATTTGATTGAAAAGGATTTCAAGGGCTATAGTCATGTTGACAACCTCATTGGATAGTTAATCAAATATTTTCGTAATTCTATTTTATTGCAACAATTTATATACTAATGTCTATATTTCTACACCTCTTATCTAAATGAGTTTTTCTTTCTTATCTCCGTGTCCTTGTTTACTTCATTCGATCATCAACGAACTTATTCATTTTCATATCAATTGCAAATCTAGGCATAAAAACAAAGTACCGGCATGTACTCGAAGTGTAGAAAGATAATATATCAATATTTCAACAGATCGAGAACATAAAAATGACATTTTATTTTTCTATCATATCAAAAAGTTAGATACTTATTACATTTAACTTTCGTATTTACATGTCATTGACAAGCTAAGGTCAAATAGTTTAAGTCTGAATACTAAAATATATAAGAAATTAATCTTTTAAGCATTAGTGTTTAACATGTAGCGACATCTTTTCAAAAAGTGTAAATGGTAAATCTAAAATGGCCAATGATGCTATATATCAAAAAAAAAAATAAATAAATCTTTTTTTATTTTTATTATGAGAAAAAAAAAGAAATTAATCAATATGAGCAGTACTTAGTACTCTTTTTTTGAGGTGTGATTGATTATACTCTCCATTTCTTTAAGAATTTATTCATATTTATAAGTCATAAAAAAAAATTAAGAGCTACTCGAAATTTTTTTTATATTCATTTTTTGTCAAAGGCCAAACATACTACAAATAGTTTTAATTCTTTATTTTTTTATTATACATCTACTAAAGATAAGAAAAGAAATCTATCGATATATTGATTTTATACTTGTCGAAATGATATATATTCATTTGCGAGACAGAAAAAAAGGAAAACATTTAGTTATTATATTTACATACTAAACAGAAAGCAAATATTGATTATTTTTTTGTGTTTTGTTGGACATATAATATGATTTGAAAACCCTATAGTAGTTAGTTTTCATTGATTATAATGTAAATAAATCATATAATAATTATAATCAAAAAAGGAATTTTTATTTATTAACAAAATCTACTGAATACTAAATACTAACATCACTCTTTATCAAAATAAAAAAGAAGAAGTGTTAATCTTTGTCTCTTTTCTTTTTTTCCCACCGCCGCCGCCTACTCATCCACTTTTCTATGCAGCTCTTTTCTCCCTGTTTTTATCCCATTTTCTATTATGATTATTAAGTCCTTGCATAGTATAATATTGAGGTTTTTCGGCCACAAGCCAATTCGTAGAACAGAACAGAAGAAAAAAACGGAATGCAAGTTTTCTTTTTTTTTTTTCTTCTTTTTTTTACATTTATATATTATATTCTTTTCTTTCTGTCTCTTTTCGCGTCATCACTTTTCCGACCAAGATCGGCGACGACCCCAATAACAACTCTTCTTGTCGATTCGGCAACATACAAAGGAGAGATGTACGCCCTCTCCTTCTCGCCTGCTCAAGAACATAGGAATTTTTTGCGAGAACGCAAATGATAGGAACCAACACCTACGCAACACGCTTCCGTTTTTTTTTTAGTCGATCATTTTCTATATTCATCTCATTTTTTTTTCGGTATGCATTAAGTATGAATCTATCGATGTGATAGACAATGTGACATATACAACATATGCATTATATAAAATGAATTTCTTTCTTTTCTGTTATAGTTAAGTAGAGTGGAGAAGGCAGTAATTGATTAGGCTAATCTAATCCGAAAAATGTATGTGTTATAACGACTGAATGTATAGAACTTGCAATCTTTCTTTTTCTTTGTCGATCAGCAGGAAAGCAAGCTGATCATATGTTTGTCACATTAGTATGTTATTGACATGAGAGACATAGTCACCTGTTAGCTATTATGATTTATAATAAAAAAAAAGAAAACGCAGAAAGTAATAGCAGCACTTGTTTCTCTTTATTCATTGTTGCTTTTATCGCCTTAGCATTAACAATAATAGACATGTAAGTCTATTAGTATATGATAGAAGAAAACAGGTTACATATTTGTAAAGGTGGGAACGATTATTATATGAAATACAAATAATATTAATGTATAACATATGGTTTTCTTTTTTTTTGTTTATAATTTGTATAAAGTTAAATATTAGAAACATATCGAAACGATAAGAACAACAAATAGTAACTTCATATAGAAAAGGAAATACGAGTCGAGTAGTAGTAGTTATGTTTAGTAAGAATTGTTCTATCTCATAGTCTCTTTTGTCTTTTTCTTCTTCTTCTTCTTCTTCTTCTTCGTTTTTTTCTTGATCGTTTTGTATTCTCATATTCTCTCTTCCTCGTGATCGTCATGTAATGTGTTTTTGAAGAAAAAGAGAGTAACGTTGAATAAAAGCAAGAATGGAGAGAAAGAAAGCGCGTCGTTTAAGAAGAATCTCAATAAAAATATTGACACAAAGATAGAGAGAAAGAAACGTTGACGACACCATCACTATTGCATTTAGTCTTGACCGAACAGATGGCAATTTGAAGGATATTCTTTTGAATGAAGCGAGAGAGAGAGAAGTAAGGATTTAATAGAAAAAGGTCGTCGTAGTCACGTTCTACCTACAATACACTATCACTCATAGTAGGAAAAGAAAAACTCTCTTGCATTGACTAGTTGTTCGTGCTTGATTGTTATCGTTGACAGTTATTTTTTTTTTCGCTTCTGATTAGTTGATGTTGTCGTTCGTAAGACTAGCATACATGAATTCTGTGTGTTCTCATTATATAGAGAAGGATAAAAAGAGAGAAACAAGAACAAAAAAAAAGAAAAAAACGAGATGATGATGATGATGACAAAGCGAGTTCAGAACAATATCTATTTTGTTATATCATGATTACAAATTATTTTCTTTCTCTTTCGATATTTTAGATGATTTGGATGGTTTTTCATAATCATCGTCGTCGTCGACGTTGGCCTTCATTTTTCTCTTAATCTTTTATTGTTTATTCATAGTATTTCAATGGATTCAACAATTGATTTATCTCAACAATTAAATCATGTTGAAGAACAAGAAAATAATACAGTATCATCCGATAATCTTCCTGATGAAGAAGAAAATATTCAAGAACCAGTACCTGTTTCAGAATCTGAAGATACGACTGATATTAAAACTAATAATATAAGTGATGATATACAAGAAACAGATACAACAATCAGTTCAACAAATATGGTTACAGCTGAAGCATCATTTACTGAAGCAACATCAGCTGATTTACCCATAGGAGCAACACGTTCGTCAGTAGCTCGAATTCTTGTTAAACCTGGACAAATTTTTCGTGTTCAAGTTGATAATGAAGTCAAAGAAGTACATGGTAAGTTTAATCATATTAGCTAATTGTTATTTTTGTAATCGCACTAGTATATGTAAAATGTTACTTTTCCCCCTTGATATATCGCTTGTATGTAATATTTTTGATTTGTTTATCATGGTTGAATAGTACCTAACTACAAAAACAAACGATATCGATGATGTCAAAACATTTGATCGATGAAAGTAGTTTGTTGTTTTTTTTGTCTTCCAAGTTATCATTTTTTTTCCCAACTCGAGATATGTATGACATTAATGCCTGGAGTGTAAGATGTCTAGTTAATATGTTGGGCGTATCTAAAGTGACAATTGACAAGGTCTATTCATATGATTAGTAAAAAGATAAAGTTCTTTTTTGTTTCATGATAGATGCTTATGATATCTATCAGTTTTTGTTTTATTCTTATACTTAATCAATGAATGAACTTTTCTTCTCTTGATAAGAATAAATATCTGTATGTGTATGTGATGGTCAGCTGTATAACGAGATATGTTCTTCTATTTCTTTTGTCTTTCCTTTAGCAAAGAGAAGAATCTTTGCGCGAAAACAAATATCGTCCTTAGTTGATGGTCGTTCGACTATACTATGTTTGTATATATTTATTTTCATGCATTGCACGTCACTAAATGGGAAGTTTGATAGAAGAAGAAGAAGAAGAAGAAGAAAAGAACGCTACTGGATGCAAGCGAACGAACAGGAGTAGTAGTCGTAGCAGAAGTGAGAGTTCCGCTATTGTATATATATGTATGTATGTTCGTTCTCGCTCGCTCGCTCTACAGTTATTCTAATTGTATGTACAGAAAAAAAAGAGGAGAAGAATAAGAAAGAGAAAAAAAGAAAAAGAAAAGAACGACGCGAGTATTGGTACACATTCATATTGCAACAAAGTACATTGGACAAGTACGACCTATGGCCGAGATACATACATGCCGAGAACATCTTCTTGTCAAAAGATAGTCTTCGTTTAATTGTCAATAATTATTGAAACGGTGATTATTCGTTTGTTTTTATTAACCGCATAATCATGTATGAAATGGGAGGTTTTCAAGTCAATGGATTCTATCCAACAACATCATCTGGTTCATCAAATACATCTTCACCCGATTCATTAAAACATCAACGCTTACTAGTGACTACAACGCCGTCACCACCTAATGTACCTCATCCATATTTTCATCAACAACAACAACAACAGTATCTTTTTGATCATCATCGTTTTCATTTTAATCATAATAATAATAATAATAATAGTAACTCGAATGGTAGTAGTGAAATACATTCATCATCATCATCAACAACTTCCAGTCATGATCAATTATATCCATGGTTTGCTGCTCAGTCATCTGCGCAGCAGCTACAGAGTATGTTTTTTTTACGAAATAGTTAATGACTTTCTTTTTTTTTTATGAAATTAATTAATATAGGACAGCGAGAAAAAGAAATGTTTTTATTTATTCGAACAAATTCTTCTTTTTTTTTTTGTCGTTCTCATATATGTCTAGATATATGTGTGTGTATGTATATGTATATATATAGATGTATATGTACGTATGTGTGTGATTTATCATCATCACAATATTGTACCCGTTTAACTTATGCAGTAGAAAACGAACGAAGTAGTAGTAATGCGTGATTATGATTGATATGGATTATGCGTGGCATCGACCTCAAGAATAGCATACATATAAACAGCGATATTCTTTTGTATAGAAAGATAAAAGAATAGCAAAAACTCGACTTATCGTCATATTATTAATCGTTCTATTCGACAGTAACAGTGCCTGGATAGAAGATAATCGTTTGTATTATTGTTGTGTTAGACTGACGTCATGATACTATTCATCAAATCAGTCATTCGCCCACGATTCGATCAGTCGTGACAAACAGTTGCTGTTTTTTTTCTTCTCCCCCACTCTGTATAATGTCGATGACCTTTTAACTAAGCTTCTATACCTTGAATAAGAAAGAAAAAGTTTGTCAATTTATATCACATCTGTATACTATATCAATGAATAATACAATATTAAATATTAAATTTTTAGGTCCTGCAACAGTGAGAATGATCTCAGAGAACGGACCAGCTTTTCCATTGCCTTTACATTTACCACCTGGACATATGGTTCAACAAGTACTAGACGAGAATGGTGTATTAACACATGTTATTATGTCACAACCTGGACCACATCCGCCACCACCTCCACCACCACATCATCATATGGTAAAATATAAAACGACAAGAAATATGACTAGTTAACACTTTTTTTTTGTTCTTTCTCTAGCATACCGGTTATCCTTCATCACCATACAATGGACTTTATGGCCATCCATCTCAATATCACAATCCAAATGTATATGGACCCTATCCAACAGAAACATTATCTTACCCTCCTCCACGTTCAGCTTGTAATTCGACATCACCAACAACAAATCGTATGAAATATAAAACTATGCAAAAAACATTCTATTTTTTTCATTTCTTGTCTATTTAGCATCACATTGTTTACTTCATCTGTCAGAAAGTAATGGTTCATCAACAACAGTAACAGGAGGAAGTACAACATCATCATCTAATTCAACTAATAATCAATCACATAGTTCATCTGTATATAATACAACAAATAATAATTGTAATACGACTAGTGGTGGTGGTGGTGGAGGAGCATCATCATCAAATGGAAGAAATTTAAATAACGGCGGTGGACCTAAACGACGTATACCTCCGTCTCATACAAATAACAATTCATATGTAAATAATGTTAGCATGAGTAAGTTTATTTAAATATTCAAAAGAGCGCTTTTATTTTCTATGAAAAGATAAAACTAAATATTAATTTAGTCAAATTTATGTTTTCAATGAAAGATAATTTAAATCGATCATTACCTGTTAAAAGTTATCGACAAATACGTTTAAATACAAAATTTCTAATAGGTTTTAAGTCATTGTCTTTTTTTGTTGTCTCTTTTATTTATCTGATATATCTTATCTAATCATATACAAATAATTTAGATGGTTCACATAAAACACCACCACAACATCATCATCATCCATCACATTATTCTTCATTTTATCCAGATATGATTGTTCAATCGACGAATGAACCTGTTGATCTAGCAACTACAGCAGAATTTGATAAAGAAAGACAAACGATTGAAACAAGTCTATCGAAATTATCTGCACCGATTGTAAGAATATTTTCATGTTTCTTTTTTTGTAAATAATATTTTTCATGTGATTAGATTCAAGATATTGAAAGTCGAAGTGCGCTAGTAAGAATTCAACCACCACGTTCGACATCATCAACATCATCTCAATCAGATTATTCAATTGATTTTACTAATCTGATCTATGAATTATTACTATCGGATAAAGGACAAGATGCTAAATATAAACAAGTTTATTGGTAAGATATTAAAGATAAAAAAAACTTATTTATTGATTTTGTTTTCTTTTTTTGTAGTGGTGATGCAAATGAAATAACGCTGAAAGATCTTAAACCAGCAACTGAATATCATCTCAAGTAAATATTTTTTTAAAAGAAATACTTCAAAAGTATAAATAAATTTCTCTTAGAGTATGCGCTTGTATTGATTCATGTAAAGGTGAATATACAAATCCAGTTCCATTTACAACTGAACAATGTGAACCTGATCGACCTTCAACACCCAAATTACTTGGTAGTCGGTTAAAAAATTCTCTAACATTAAAATGGACAGCAACAGCTGATAATGGTTCAAAAATAACTAATTACATTCTTGAATACGATGAAGTATGTTATCCTTTTTGACTAATCTTATAATTAATCTTTTTTCCATTAGGGCAAAGGTCGAGAATTTATTGAAGTATATCGTGGTATAAAAAAACAATTTTTGATTAATAAATTAACTCCAGCAACATTCTATGGCTTTCGTTTGGCTGCTGAGAACAGTATTGGACGAAGTGAATTTAGTGAAACAATTCAATTTAGTACATTGGGTACAATACCTCCTGAACCTGATCCTCCTATGTTATCTGATAAAGGTGTTAAATATTTAACATTGACATGGACTAATCGACCCATTGATGAAACATTTACATTACAAATGAATGATGAATCAAATTATTTTCGAAATAGATATACAGGTCCATTGTTAACTTGTACAGTTACAGATTTATATCGAAATACTGAATATAAATTTCGAGTAATTAATAATATTTGTTTTTTTTTGTCAATAGAAATTTTTATCATTATTATTATTTAGTTAGCAGCACATAATCAAGAAGGACAAAGTAATTATTCACAGATAGCTACATATAAAACATTACCTGATCGACCTGATTCGCCAGCTAAACCGAGAATAAAAGGACAGATACAAGCAACACAATGTCGTATTGCTTGGGGTAAAATAAAAGTTTAGATTTTTTATACTATAAATAAAACGAATTTATTTATTAGATCCACCAAGAGATAATGGTGGTGCAGAAATTCAACAATATCATCTTGAATTAGAAGAATCGAAAGGTAAAAATATTACAAAAATTTTGATTTTATTTCAAATCTTGTTTTGTAGGTTTTCATATGATTTATAATGGTTTAGAAACAGAATATTTACTTGAACAACTTATACCTGGTCATTCATATTCTCTTCGGTTATCATGTTCAAGTATAGGTGGTCATAGTGATCCATCGGATATAACACAAATAAAAACACCAGCTGTAGCACCTACGTCATGTCATCCACCAAAGATTTCAGGAAAACCAAAAGCAAATTCTTTACATCTTCGATGGGGTATGTCAAAATAAAATGTTTAAATCGATATAAAAACAAATTTTTCTTTTCTTTCATAAATATAGCATATCCTGATTATGATGGTGGTTCACCTGTAATAGAATTTGAAGTACAAGTAACGAATCCTGATAGTTCATCACGTATTGTTTATCGTGGACGTGATCTTGATTGTGTTGTTGCTGGTTTATTACCCGGTCGACCATATTTATTTCAAGTTCGAGCATTCAATCGAGCTGGAGTATGAATTTTAAATTTAAAA